TATCCACTTTGTAGAAAGTGGGGTTAGAACCAATAACCTGTGAAACACACATAAAGATGTAAGCCTAGTTTATGCAAACATAATTTGGGTAAAAAACAGATATGAATGTAGGTGATTGTGATGTTTTCCTATCATAAATTGAGTTTAAATTTCTCAGAAATGTATATTTTATACCTCTAGAGATAGTGATAGGGAAACATATTGGTCAACAGATACTTATCAAGTACCTACTAATTCAGAGCAGGTGGGGGAGAAGTTGTTTTTTTCTTTCTTAAAGAAAAAAAAAAAGGAGATGACCAGGACTCTGCACACAAAGAACCTATGATTGCAAAGGTGAGCATTCCATAAAATATCCCATTTGTGGGGTTTATGGAAATCTAAATTGGAACTTGGTAAAACAAGTATAGATGAGTACGTGAGGAAGCTGGAAGTAAACATGTTGCTAGAGAAATAGAGGTGGAGATGTGGGTGGACCAGGGTTTGGTTAGAATGAATCAGACCATCCTACAGAGCATGGCTCCTCCCCGAAGGACCTGCTATAAAAAGGCCATTATCCCACACTTCAGTACCCAGCAAGCTCCTTCAGGCTACATTCTACTTGCTCTTCTGGTGAAAGAAGTAAGTAAGAGGGAATACATCTAACTTGGTCTACTTGGTGGGAAGCAAGGTGGAAATCTGGATGTATGTTTACTCTAAGGCAAATAAGGTTAGCTGTCTGGGGAATCTTGATTTTTCAATAACAGCACTGTTGCAAAAGTTTATTTCAACGCAAAAGAGAAGTAAGAGCATACTTTTACTTTCTGTAAAGCTACTTACCAACTCTGTCTTTGTATCACTGGATTTTCCATTTATTCATGGATTCAGCAAATACTTATGAGCTACCTTCTATTTGTCAAGACTGCTCTTGTCTGATTTTGCAGCAGTGAACAATCTAAACTCCCTACTTTAATGAGTTTACATTTATGACAGAGAGAAGTTCAGTTAACAATATACAAACAAGAATTTCATACACTGAGAACAATGGAAAGAGAGAGAATAATGTAAATAAATAATGGGAGGAGAGTACTTTTTCCTGGATGACCAAGAAAGACCACTCTTGAGAAGTACCTTTTGACTGAAAGCTTAGTGTCAGGAGAGGCAAAGGCAAGACTCTAATGCAGCGTAAATGTGTTTCAAAGAACAAAATGAAGTTAGTGTGCTTACAGTATATTTAACAGGAGGAACAGTGGCATACGGTGCTATCAGAAGACTAGAGGGGCACAGTTCATGTACATTATATTAAGCTCATGAAAAAGATCACTGGAGAGTAGTAAGCAAGATGAGTGATATAACTGAATGAATGTTTTTCCAAAGTTGTTTTGGGTTGCAATGTGGAAAGCAGGATGCTAGGAGGCAAGAGTGGAAGCAAGAAGGTAAACTGCAGTTCAGATGAAAGGGGATGGGAGTGACAGACGTGAAAAGCAACTCTGCTAAAAATCTGGAAGTTATCCATGATCCTTGTCTTTCCCTCACACCATGAGGATACGTCATGAAGTCCAGACAACTCTGCCTACAAGATAAGCCACATCCATAGGTCTTTCTCTCCACCATGACATCCTCGTCCAGGATAGATTTTTGACTTTTACATAAAACAGCATGGTTTTATTCATTTTCCTAGCAATAAATACTTGAATTCTTAGATCTGTGGAGGCATTATTCATAATAGGGTTAATAGCATTTTTACATGTTTATATTTCCATTGGAAATACTTCCATTGGAAGTATTCCTGAAAGTAAATTCTGAATTCTATATACTTAAAAAACTTTAAAAATGTATTTATGTAAGTTTATGACTCTCCTAGCAGTAATGAAAGACACATCAATATTTAGGATTGTCAAATTTCTTTTCTACTCTTGTCTTTTAAGTCTATTTTGGTGTTTAGGATTACCAAATTTCTTTTTTTGTCTTTTAAGCCTATTTTGATGGGCATTCTGTGGTCCTGCAATGTAATTTTAAGTTGCATTTCCATGACTTTATTATTATTATTTTATTAGGCCTAAAATTAATATACACCATAAATTATGCCTGTCACATTTTCTCATTCTAACTTAATTCAAAATATGCTTTAAACCGTTCTAATTTATTCTGTAATTCATTAGTTATTTAGACGTCATTGCTTAATTTCCAAATACTTGTGTATTTTTATACGTACTGTCTATTATTGAATGTTGCCTTTATTCTACTATGGTAGAAAACACATTTTACATAATTTCAAACTTTTATTACTAATTTTAAAGTAATTTTCTATAAGTTTAACATTTTTAAGTATATTTATATTAGCAAATAGAGTGTTTACTACTATGATTATAATTTTTTTTTCCATGCCAACTGACGTTTACTGTTAAGAAATATCCTACCAAAAGTACTCTTTACCTTAGAATCTACTCTATATTAATAGAGAAAAAAACAGTGATGAATAGGGTATCATTTTTCAGTCTTCTTACTATCAACCATTACTGTCCATATATAATGCCTGTCTCTTGTAAGAAGCAGCTTTTCTTTGCAATTTTGTCTAACAATCATTGTTCTTAGAATATTTAGCCCATTTAAATTTTATTGCTGTACTATTTATCATCTAACCTGATCAGTTCTATTACCTCACCTGCTCTGTTTTGCTTTCTTGACATTTTATAATGAAACGTCAATTTTCCTTATGTTAGCTTAATTATACATTCTTTTACTATAACTCCATGCTTATCCTAGTGATTAAAATATGTATCCTTGATTTATTAGATTTATCCTTGATTTAAAAAAAGTATCCTATTAAAAATAATTTTACCATTACTAAAATAACTCAACTATCAGAAAAACTGCAACTCCCTTTATTCCACCAGACTTGTATTGTTATACCTAATTATATTTCTCTCAAATCCTGAAAGATATTATTCTTCTTGCTATTGCTATATGTAATCAATATCAATATAGATTTTTCCACACACTTACTCTTTTGATTTTTCTTCATTCTTTCCTGCCTTTCTAAGCTTTAATATTGCCTTTATAAGTCTACAGGTAATTTGTTCTACTTTTATTTGTTTCTAAATATCCTTATTTAAAGTTGATTTTTTTTCATGGATAATTTCATAAGATACAGATTTCTAAGAATTCTATCTTGCGTTAGAAAGATGAAGATAACATTTCGCTGATTTCTGGCTTCCCACAGTTTGTTCTGAATAATCAGCTAAAAGTGTTACTCCTTTGAAGAAAAGTTTTTCTCTGCTTACTATTAAGGTGTCCTCAATGCCTTGGTTGTTATTTTTTGTATGTCCAGTTTTTTCCTCTTAATTTGGTCATACTTTTTCCGAATTTTTTTTACTTTTTTAAGTTATCATTATTTCAACTTAGGGTGGAGCTTTATAATTTATTTATATGTATTTTATGATATTGTTTATTTTGTATAATGTTTGTTTTCTCCTCTCAGGTATTGTCCCCATAAAATGGCCACCACTAATTTGTGCACTATCACTTTAGTCCCTTGTGCTCTTCCCTCCCCTGTTTTGGTCCCTCTCCCTCCCCTTTCCCTGCAGAATGTCTCTGATTTATAGATTCCTGTTTGTTTGTAAGTTCGTTCACATTCATTCATTCATTTATTACTTATTAATTATGATCCCTTACTTGGTTACCCTATATTCTTTCTATAACTGACCCATCCAATATTTTTCTTACTCCTTCTGCTTATTTTACTGAGCATAATCTCTTCCAGCTCCAGCCATGTTGCTGTGAATGGCATCAGTTTATTTTTTGATTGCTGAATAATATTCCACTGTGGATATAAACCACATCTTCTGGATCCAGTCATATATTCTGGGGCATTTGGGCTGTTTCCATAGCTTACCTATTGTAAATAGTGCTCCAATGACTATAAGGTGCAGGTATCCTTCTGAATTAATGTTTTTGTGTTCTTTGGGTGGATTCCTAGAGAACTGCTGTGTCATATGGAGCTTGAGGAACCTCCACACAACTTTCCATAATGATTGGACCAGTCTGTATTCCCACCAGCAATGTAGAAGAGTTGCATTTTCTCAACATCTTTGTCAACATTTGTTGTTGCTAGTTTTTTTAAAAATGTGCTATCCTTACTGGTGTAAAGTGGTATATCATTGTGGATTTAATTTGTATTTCCCTGATTTTAAGTAATGTTGAACATTTTATTCATATACCTGTTAGCCATCTGCATTTCCTATTGCTGAAGTCTTCTGCCCATTTTTTACTGGACTGTTATCTTACATATCATGCCTGGAGTTAATGATATTTTTTGACCTTGTGGATTGATATATTTTATTAGATATTTAACCATAGATACTTAAGTTACCCAAGATGTACTTCCCTTCCAATCTGAATGGAAGCTCAATCAAAACTGACAGCATTTCATAAATTCACATGTGCAAGTACATACACATACAAACTGTTTAGCTTTTCTCCAAAGACGGGTATTATGAAACAAATTATTGTCAACACATAGTTATCTTCAAAAATTATACAAACCAAATAAGCTCAATTTTTATAATACTAAAAAGAAATTAAAATCAACTTATCTGATGACAAATACTGAAATTTTCATATATCTTTAAGAAGTAAAAACGATATTGAGTGGCTAGCTATTAAGCATCTCAGCCATTTGGCATATATGGCAACAAATAATTTCTTTCAATTCATGGAGTATTTAGAAAATTAACTTTCGCTGAACTGATCTTCAGCAAATTTGTATGAGCAAGCCTTCCCACTTCTAACAAGGAGAACATTATGATATCCTGCTATGTACTAGGTCAGGAACTTGGTAGCTTTGGTAATTATGTAAAACATATTCACTCATTTACTTTATGTAGGAAATAGAATGTTTGGGTTCATTTTCTATTGCTAAAAATAGTCCTTTCTCTGATGATAGATTTAAACATGTAGAAATTCACACAATGTATAATCTGAGAAATAAAATACAATAAAAGTACATTTTTTTAAAGGTTCACCTATATATCAAAAAATGTCTACTCTCCTGGAGAACATCATTGCCATCATTGACCTATTCAACGACTACTCAAACACAGATAAGGAAAACAAAACACTGAGCAAAATAGAGCTAAAGGAGCTTCTGGAGGTGGAGTTTCGGTCAATCCTGAAGGTAAGAGATATTTACAAGAATGAACAGATTCCTAACCTGATAAATAATCTCATAGGAAAGTAGATAAATAATTCCAAATAATTTAATATCAAATAAAAACAATATTAACATAATTCAAAAAAGATAAAACTTGACATTCCCCTTTGACCTTGTCAAATTACAAAATTACTTACAAACAGACTTTACATACAGCAAACATAGCCAATACATAAACTAAAGGAAAAATTAATAAATACTAAAAAGTAAGAACACAAATTAAATAACTCTACATATTCTCCAAAAATACAAACAAGGAAGAGTATATTTGTAAATTTTATGAAATATAATTTTTAAAGTATATTTGTGAACTTCATGAAATATTAATATTTAAAGAACATAATTAACTGACTTATAAAGCATTGTTTTGGGTGTCAAACTAGTATTGACATGGGTGTTATATGACACAAAAGTTTTAATATTAAATAGAATATGATGAAGACAATGAAGAAAAAATTATTCCATTGCTCCAATTTGATATACCAAAAAAGAGAATTCACTAACTATATTAAATTACTTAATTGTTCATATGAGTCAGACTCACATAATAAAAGGTTTGGTCTATACCCACAGAATCCAGATGACCCAGATACTGCTGATGTCTTCATGGAAATACTTGATGTGGACCACAACGATGAAATAGACTTTACAGAGTTTCTTCTCATGGTATTTAGGCTGGCACAAGCATACTATGTTTCTGAGAGTAGAGAAAAAAGATCAGGGGAAACGGACGAAGAATATGGAAGCCACAGTATATTTGAAGAGTACACTGAAGAAGAAACAGAAGGAGAAGAGACAGATAAAAGCAAGACAAATACAAGATTAACAAAAAACAATGAAGAAAATAGAAACAAATCCAGATCCAGAAGTCCCACTGGAAGAGGAAAGAGAGGTCAAGGAGCTAAGGAAAAAAGTGAAAGAAGAAACCAAGAAAAATTGACACTGGGACATAAAACAGAATATGCAGGGAAAAGGAATGATATAAATAAGGAAAAGCAAGTTGGGTCACGATCAAAAGATGAACAAGGAAGAAGACACAAGACAAGCATTACCACAACAGATGGCAACAAGAAACCCGAAGAAAATAGTAAAACTGAATATACTACAAGTCATAAGAGGAACGGGAAAGACCACTTAGAGGACTCTGGGAAACAGTCCTCCACAACCCACCCCAGGTCTGGGACCGGGTCATCAACAAAACAAGGCCCCAACCATGGCCTTGCTGGCAGCAGCAATGGGAACAAAGGACCCCACCAAGGAAACACCGCCCCTCACAGGCACTCCGACTCCACCCGCACACAGTCAGGATCCACCACCACAGACAAGCAGGGGCACGGCCATGGGCACTCCGGAGACACCGCCAGACACGCAGGGACC